TACCTAAATAAATATAACTACGCTTACTTACAATGTTAAAAAATAGCACCTACTAATTTGCAGACTTGGTTACATAAGGACATACTAAGAATGTACTACTTATTTTAGTTACAACTTAGTTACAGTTCACATTATAGAATATGCAAAGGAACAGTTGCATAAAATCACTAATATTAGCACCTAACATTATGCAATACTGAATACAGAAAAATGCAAACTAGATAATAAGAATACTGTGCAAGTGTAGCACCCGTCTCCCTAGGTGACACTTGCATAACGTTGATTGCAAAACTTTACAATCACACTACCAAAAACATACAATAAAGCTTACATTGACAATTACATTAGAAGCCTATCCATTCCATAGAAAATGTGATAGCCGGTACATTCAAACGGTGGGCATTGAGAATGTCTATGCTACACCTAAGTGCAATTATGACACATACACCATTATATTCTTGTTGACTATGTTGAGCATGATGTATAGTTTACAGTGTACAGTGGCCAACTTAAAAATCACTGGCAAGGAATTTAAATGGAATATAGTACAACTATATATTTTGCTAAGACGTTGTAGAGTTCAATAGATGAATTTCTGTCTGCAACTGGAGTAGCAGGAAACTACACAAGAGAAGAGTTAAAGTACCCTTTATTAAATCTTTGAAAATTTACAATGCATCAACGCGATGCTAACATACTTCGCCTCTGCTTGGGTGGTAACTGAAAATCAAGTAACTAAACTAAAAATTTTAAGATATTAACAGACGATAGAACTAGACTACAGGGCTCAGCAAATATCGCATAAGATAACTTAAACCCTCTTTGAAGCTAGTGGCAGCAAATAAATGCAATTAAACCACTTGAACCAGCAATAAGCAAATGTACCTACGGTAGATGTTGCGGCTAGATCCTAACTTTCTCTTTCTCCTCCTGAAACTCTGCTTTTAAATACTTTCTACAAAGTAGAAATTTGCATTCCTTTATGCATGCTACAAGATTTAACTATTCTGGCACTGAAATTAGGAGAATGAAGGCTTATAGGAAAGTTTGAACTTAAACTTTAAATTGTTAGTTAAAATAAATATAAATCCCTACAATGTAGCACGTGGGGTGTTGCATTCTCAGAAAAATTTGATGCAATCCAGAAATAATTATTACAGTATACGTATGTTACACCAACTATTTACAACAGACATACCCAAGAATGTATACACCTTAGTGCTTTCTGGATGCCTAAATTATACTGAGAATACACACATAAATACATAAAACCTACATAAGTACATACATAAATACACACTGAGAATATACATAATGAAATACCTAATTTAACTATGTACATAATTCCAGACTACAAAAAGCAACCAAAACATTCAATTACTAAATAGTAACTCGATCAATTATACACTTCTAAAAATAAATTGGCTCTTACACCCCTTTGTCATACAGTCATGAACAGGTGCGTTTATTATTTTTGCAGAAGCACATACCATACCGCAACAAAAAGAGAAAGTATATATCAGGATACGGTGCCTAGTTAATACCAGTATAAATAGGACTGCAATTAGCATGATTTCTTAATGGATATCAAAATAATATTGAACATAATGCCAAACTGACAGAAGATAACAAGACAGCACATTGATCCATATCCTAGTGATACTATTAATGAATTCAGTACAATAGTAATTAAAATCATAAAAAAAAAGAATTTCTAATTGCTATTGCAGGTGTTTCATTGCTTTAAGTATGGTGCATGGTAAAGTCTCTAATGCCATTTTTGCAATCTAACAATGCAAGCTATAAGAGTACAATTACTATGTCTTATTACATCTCTAACTTATTGCTGGTTAATTAACCATAAACCTGCACAAGGCCAGCTGTACTGCTAATTGCATACTGCTTGTTAACAAAGTGAAAAATTACTAAAACCTAGAAAACATGTAGTTGCATAGTACTATGAGGAATTTAATTTGTAAAGCACTATGCCATTACTAGTAGGGTTGTACACTGATACCCTAGTTGTCCATTCATTAAACTCTCAGTTATTGATTCCTGTTGGGTGTTTGTTATCTTATTCTTCCATTACTGATAGCAGAGTTCACAACTGCACAATGTTTAACTAATTCCCTCAGCTTTGCTTTGGTTATTTTATTTTTCAATATATTATCTGCCCATTCTGACCAATACTGTGGGCTTGGCTGCTTATGATGTAGAGAACTTGTATCAGTGCAGTTGAAAACATAATGGTCAGTGTTCCACACCTCTCCACATCTACAGTTTTCTGTTCCACTTAGACCAAACCTACATAGATATGTCAGAAACATGCCATGTCCTGTGAAGAAGTGGGTAAGCTCTCCATTTGTTGCTAGCAGGCTTTTCCCAACTTTCGGAAAGAAAAGGAATGTCCTTCTGCCGGTTGGAGCCGACCTCCATCTACTTTGCCATTGTTCCAGCAGGTGAATACATGTCACTTTTTTGATGAGAGTGGGAGTTTGAGTGGACATTCTAGTAGAGCCGCATCATTTGCTGCAGATTTTGCCAGTCTATCTGCTTCTTCATTACCTTGTATCCCAGTATAGGCTGGGACCTATTAAAGAGTGGGTGAGCTGACTGCAGTAGTTGCAGTAGTCTACTCCAGTGCAGTCCTGTAGTTCTTAACATCGTGTTTGTTAGGTGTGCTTTACACTGTTTCATTGTTTTCAAGTGAGGAATCGAAGAAAGATTGTTGCTAAGTATGATTCCTAAGTACTTTAGGGTTGGTACACATTTTATTGAGTTCCCATTTATTTTTACTGTTGATTTATGCTTTAGAACACCTTTGCATCTAATGCAAAGCAGCTTTGTCTTGGCAGTTGAGATTTCCAATTTATGTTGTCCTATAATATGAATTTATCAACTGCCACTTGCACTCTGGGTTCTATGTGTTTCCTTCCTTTGACTATAATGACAAAGCCATCATCAAATGCTTGCACTTGCACGTGAGTCTGGTTTCGAAACATTCCAAAAGCCGTATTTGCAATTATATTCCAGAGAGTTGGCACTAGACATGATCCTTGAGAACTGCCTCTTTCTATTTTCATTGTAGTGGGACCAGCATGGGTAGTTATAATGACATAGCAATCCTCCAGGTAGCTTCTAAGGATACAAATAATTTCTTTAGGTCAATTCATGTCAACTAGGCATTCGATCACATCAGGCCACCATAGTGTGCCGAATGCTTCTTTAATGTCAATTGAGATGATGAGCATATGAAAACCAGCCTCTCTGTCTGACTGGATGGTCTTTAAGAGTTGATTTATCACATTGGTCTATGGATAATCCCTCTCTAAAACCGTACTGGAAGTCATTTGTCCTTAGGGGATAGTTTAGATGATTCAAGACTATTCTCTCTAGTATCTTACTTATGGCAAAAGGCTTACTGGCCTATAGACCTTTGGATCCTCAGCATCTTGTACTGTTTTTAGAAAGAGTGCCACCTCCGCAGTCTTCATTTGTGAAGGAAACACTTCTAGGTTACTCGTCTGGGAGAGTAACCTAGAACGTAAGACGTCTGGGACCTGGGATGTACTTGTTTGGGAGAGTAATCTGGACATAACCTGGGATGAAGAGAGTAACTTTATTCATGGGCAGACAAGTTGATGTCAACCACAGCCACACTTTCAGAGTGGATAAGTAAGAGAATATCATTTTTTTTAAGAAAGAGGTCTTTTACTTGACAAAGGACTATGTGAAAATGGCCACAACATGAAACTCTATGTTAATGACAACACTATTTGGAGATGTAATGTTAAAAAATGGGGGGGGGGAAGAAGGCATCTGTGTTGGAAATTGGTTCAATGGTTGCAGAATATCATTCATCACTGCTATTAGATGTATGTATTCATGGGCAAACGAGTTGACATTCATGAAATGGTGTAACAAACAGCTTAAAATGTGTGAAACTGCCACAGTAGTCTGTATCAATTACATGCAATAAAATATTAAGAAGAAGGATAAGGATTCGCAAAAGTATTCTTAGAAAATGATATGTGAGTATTATTGTTATTATTATATACTGTGTTGTTTATTTTTACATTTGCACTTCACGAGCTTGGCGAAATTATAGCCGAGATCTTGGTGCAAATCCTAAAATAGCCATATATAGTTGTGGGGACTATAACAAATAAGTACCAAAATTTCTTTGTGTGTTAATAGTACAGGCAAGAAAACATTTCAAGAAATAAATTTGGTTCATAGTGCTTTGCTTAAGATTTAGAATCAAAAGACATGTCAAAAGACAAAGATTTTTTTTTTTTTTAAATAAAGTTAACTATTTTGCTTTAAAATGTTCTTGGAAAAGAAGTGTTAATATTTAAGATCGTAATTTAGATAAAGGTATGAGCTTTTTTTTTTTTTTTTTCCAGTTTTATGTACAGAAATTTGCATTCTTATGCTTTTAACAATATTAAATTTGTACTGATATAATTTTTAAAATATTAATTGTAAAAAACTTGTTTAAATTGTTTATTTAAAATACTATTATTAATTAAATATTTATTTAAAATATTAATTAAAAATTTTTTGACATAATTAATATTTTAACCAAATTGAAACTATGATAATAAAATTCTGTGATATCAGAAGTAGGTTAGTAGTATTAATATTGTGTAGCTAATATGTATGTTTCACACTGTAAATTAAAATTTCATTTTTATGTTTTTCTCATTCATATGTCATTCATGAATGGTCCCTTGAAAACATATAAATGGGACTTCACTGTATTAAAAAAGATGAACTTCTGGGCTGATGAGAATTTTCATATTTCTTGTGAACTAATTTCTCTAATTTTTCTGTTTCTCTAATTTTTCTGTGCTGTTTTCTTATTTTTCAGAGCTTGTTTTCAATGCTTTATCTCTGAACGTTAAATTTATTATGTAGCTTTATTCCCGATTAATTATTTAGGTAGTTTATAAATAAAAATATTGTACATACTAACTACTTGGTTTTCTCTTATATAGATCAAGTATTTAGTTCACAAGTTGTTAAAGATAAACGTTCTAATGCAGGAGACATAGTAAGTAACTCATAGATAATTGAAATTTTTTGCGTTATTTGTTTTGCAAATGAAAATTTATTCCATTGAATTTAAATTGAGAAAATACTCTGTCAGTTGTTTAATATTTTTATGGCTTAGTGCATTATGTGATTAATATTATTTATAAGCTGAGTAATTTAATGCATGAAAATGGTTTTTCATTTCATAACTTACTAATTTTCTAGTAATTTTTGGGGAAAAGTGTAATCCATTGAAATCAGTTAAGAGATGATCCAACTGCTAACATATTATAAATTGTTAGTGATAATTTTTATGGCACGGTTTTTATATTATCATTTTAATAATGAAGAATTTTTCTGATAATTTAAATTCAAAATGTTCAACCTGAAAACAAATATTTTGTTGTTAAAAAAATCTTCAGAAATTCATTACTGAATTGCTTAAATAGCAGACTTGAATTTTTAATAAGTTCTGTTACTGGCACCTGCATATTAATCAGTATCTGCTGATACACATATCTAAGCCCTTCGAGATGGAGTGTCTTTATTTAAGACATCCCTTTGGTAAGGAATCATCTCACAGGATGGGGATTTTGCATCACTAAGCCTAACTTTGTCATAATTTTTTGTACTATTTTAGATTATTACTTAAGCTATCATGTATGTTAAAATTACCATTAAAGAAATTGTTTACTTTAAGAAATAATTTTTTGAAGCAGCACTGTTCATATTATTCCAAAATTTCAATTGGCCAAATGCATTAATAAACTTTTAAATTAATAAGAAAATACAAGAAAGTCTATATACTATAAGCAAAATCTTTCCCAGAAAGTGGAAGGCAGGCGGTGAGTGCAGTCTCTGATAAAATGTCCATATGAGAATTGCGAGAAATATAACTCTTAATTCTTTAGAAAATGAATCATAACTCTCATCCATGTCACTAATTCGCTCATTTACCATGCAAGTATATATATCCTTCCTCTGATAAATAAGGTTTGCTAGCCATAATAAATTGAATTCAAGGCTTTTTGAAATAAAGAGGGAAGTACACACAATATAAATGATAACAGCAATGTAATGCATAATAAGAAACCCACATAGTAACCCTAAGACCCTACATGGTAGGGGGGGAAAGGATTCAAAGAGAAATCAGAATTGCAAAAGTTTATATCATGTGGCGAGTCAAACAGCCGAGCTCTGTTAACATTATGCTTTCCCTTCTTCCCTGCAACAGTTAATACCAACATTATGCAAAATGTGACCAAACTGAAATTCAGGATACTAAAACTGTATTCAGTTGAAAAGTAATAGACACAGGACACCTTCTAGTGGTCTTTAAAACATGTTTCAATTTAAAAATGCATATATATATATATATATAAATATATATATATATTTGTATAAATAAAATTCCATAGTCAATATTACACTTAAATTTCTAACTGTATGTTCTTTTAATTTTTTTTGGTGACGTTCGCTTATTTGAAAGTACATGGAATTAAATCCACAGCCCCGTAGTCAAGTTGTTTTCCCCGCCTTTTCTACACGTATTATTTTAGAATGTTCTGGAAATATTTAAAGCAAACTGGATTGGCTGACGTCATTTCTTGGAAGCTCTGCCTTTCCAGAGGCTATAAAAGGACTCGCAAAAGAATATCGGGGCTTTTTCTTAAATGTCACGATGCAGTAAACTTCATACAAAAAGTTATTAGTAATTATTTTTATTTACTCTGGATATCTGATTTTGTAACTGCTATTTCTCCTGAATAATATTAAATGGATCCTGTTTTTTTTTAAAACTTATCGTCTGATAATTTAAGCTACGACTAAAGCTGGTACATCACATATATTTATCACTCGGCCTTTACATTGACTCTCCAGTGATGCATGGGTGGGATGCTCAGCTGTGAGAGATGTTCGTAGAGAACTAACGTATGAGACATCCATTCAGAATGGGCTAATTATTGCCCTTTTGAATCAGTGACGATCAACTTACAAGTGATATTTAAGTCAGTAATAACTTTTTGGTGATAAAATATATTTCCTGTGTCAGCAGATCTATAAAAGAAGTTTCCTGGCAGATATTGTTTGGCAAAAATTACACTGGTTTGTTTTTCTCCACAGGTTATCCTTGCTTGCATATAAACTCTGCTGAACAAGAAAGCAAGTTACTTCTGTGAAACTGATTCCCAGTTCTAAATGTTTTGTTGCCTGTTATTATTAATGTTTTCATTATAAGTCTTCCATCATGTATAGTTTCATTGCATAAGAGTTGGAATGCTTGTGTGTTTTGGAAAAGTACTACATACTTGAAAATAATAATTGAAACTTCTTCTTCTACTTCATTTCTCAGCAAATGTAGTAAAATCATGATGCAAAATGCATTCAAAATTAACACAAGATGAACAAACATTGTCTCAAGAGTTTTTCATGATTATCAAAACAATGACATAATCCAGATGTATTCTTGATGTAATTGGTTTGAAGTTAATGTTGAAATAAAAAAGAACTCATCCCCACTCTCATTTAACCTCCTAGGAAAGAAAGAACCATTATAAAAAAGAAAAACAACCTAAAATCTTACCTTTAATGAAAAATTCAGAAAACCACCTAAAATTCCTGAACACATGCAGATATCAGAATCAGTAGTGTGTTAGTGACAGCATGTTGGTGCGTACTGGCTGATACCAAACTACCCTCTGACTTTCTGCAAGCTCCAGTGGCATCATGCTGTACCCTTTCACTTTCTAGCAAGCTTGGCAGAAGGTGCTATAAATATAGATTCTGTATTCTGATATACACCAAACTACTAATTTTATCCTGGAATGCAATTTCCTCAGCTATTGCTTCAGTATCAGCTTTTCTCTCTGAGATTTTCAGTTGTTTTAGTAGACCATTATTGGTCCATAAATACCTTTTCAAGTCCTTATACAGGTATAACAACCAGGCAGAATGAACTCGATGAGAGAAGAAAGAAACCATTATTCCAGTTTTGAAACTTTGCTGTTTGAGAAATGATAAGAAATCTCAAATGTAGTGCAGCATTTGTGTATTAACTGCAGATAGGAAGCTAAGGAAAATTAATCTACCAGAAGTGTTAAGATATCCCAAATGACTGTAATCATCTCATGTTACATGCACCTTTTCATAACTGTAAATCTCATTTCTATTTTGTGATATTTACCATTCTTATATGTAAACAATGTGATCAGAATGTCACACATATTAAGGCTTTCAGAAGTCTTGGAAATTTCAAAATGGCTATTAATTACAAATTATATTTCAAGTGGAATTCTAATACTATTACAAGTAATATAATACTTGAAGTTTCAATTGCAGTTTAAGATGAAGACCTTAATCCTTTTGGGACAAAAGGTGCAAATGCCCGTGTGCTGCTAAGGTTATCTGTTTCTTTTGCGAGCATTTCTCCAGAGCTGGAGCATTTTTCATTACTAAGCCTAAATCCTCGATATTTTGGGAAGATTAATGTGTTGTTTAATAATACTTTGTAGGGTATATATGCTTCAGTAAGTTTCAAAGTCAGTCCTAGACGCACACTGGATTTTGTGTATATTTTTTATTTATATACTTTATATACGAGGGCTATCCAGAAAGTAGATTACGTTTTGGAATAAAAAAATAAACAAAGTATAGGAAACAAATTTTATTATATACAGATGAAAGCCACACTCAAATACTACTTTTCTACATAGTCACCATACAAATTAAGGCATTTATCGTAGCGATGTACGAGCTTGGAAATTCCTTCGTCGAAAAATTCGGCCGCCTGCGCCTTCAACCACTTCGTTACCTCTTCTTGCCTTCCATCTTGCACAAAACTTGTGGTAACCAAGCTTTTCGCTGATGATTTCGTGCAACAAACTTCGCGAAATTGTGGGAAAACTCAAAGAAAGTTCCGTTATTGTGAAATTTCGATTTTCACGGACTTTAGCATCGACTTTTTCGAGAAGTTCGGCGGGCGGTCACTATGCTGGGTCTCCCACTTCGATCTTCGTCGTGAACATTGGTTCGGCCCATTTGAAAATCTTATGACCCACTGACGCAGTCCACCTTCAGTGATAATGTTTGTACCCATACACTTCACGAAGCTGCCGATAGATTTCTATCGGTTTACAGTTTTTTGCAGTCAGAAACCTTATTACTGAGCGCACCTCGCAGCTCGCGGGATTTTCAATTAACGCAGACATTTCAAACCGTCACAGTATCTGAACGGAGCACAGCACGAACCTCTCACTAGCACGGCTAGATGCAGACTGAGCTGCGCAACGCTCTGACCCCAAGATGGCCGCGCTAGCCCCGCCCCTAGCGGACACAGACGGAAACGTAATCTACTTCCTGGATGGCCCTCGTACTTAAGTTTTTTTAAAAAAAAAACTTTTTTTTTTTTTTTTTGTGCGTTAATTTTTTCCAGTATTTGCTTCCCTGTTACTGACTTTTAAAATTATACAATTGACAACAAACGTTTTGCCTAAGATTCGTATTTACTGTGATAAATTTTAAAGCATGGACACACAGTCCTATGTTATAATTTTTGTGTTCATAATAGCTCATTTGTCTTTTTGCAGGTTTTTTGTTCGAGCATGAACAAAGCATCCCAGTCGCAGCTATAATTAATAAGTTAGAGATATAACTTGATTTAGATTCACATAATCTGTTAAAGATTTTTGATGCCTTGACGTTGTAAAGCTCAAAGCACATTTCACATACACAAGGCATAATTCTGGACTGCAAACCTAAACACCAAATGTTCTAGCCAAAAAAAATAAACAAAATAAAACTTTATAAATATCACATCTGTATTTAAAGAAACACCCCAACACTCTAGCCAAGAAAGTCTCCCTAACATTCATTAATAAATACCATGTGGGCATTTAAAGAGCCATTAGGAAGCCAGCAAGTCAAGAACATGCCTTTCACTTTATGTTTATATAATCAAAGCCCAAATGCATATATGAGTCATGTTTGTCTCATTTCGAGTAGAAGATACACATAGAAGGC